AAACAATGACTTAATTATTTGCTCTTTTGCAGCACGAGCTGCAAAAGATCTGTAATTAAATAATGAAACTCTAATTCTAAGCCTATATTTGACAAAATTTATGAAGGGTAATCAGTAAAAGCAGAGGCGACTCTAAGGGTGTGTGAGTTGAACAACCACACAGGACCTCGAGTCCTCAACATTGTGGGGGTACAAAAAAAATTATTGTGTGTGTGTGTGTTTGTGTACACACACACACACACACATATATGTATGTATGTATGTATGTATGTATGTATGTATAGTTATATATTTAGCCTTTATTTGATTCTCATCATGGGGTGTTTAATGGATATTATTCAGGAAATAATGTATTTTAAATAATAATATGATGATAAATATGTGGTTAAAAAGTAATAAAAAACTATTGATGTGGTGAAAAATATTATTTTATTGAAAAATGTATGGTTGAAAATGAGTTTTGAAATAAAATATTTTGAAATAATGTGTGTTGACAGGGGCTATATGCAAAGTACATATTTCACTCTCTTATTTTCAATCACACATTATTCAATAAAATAGTATTACACAAAAATCCAAAATTTTTCTTATTTTTTAACAATATATTATTCATCAAAATGCTATTCCAAAATACATTTTAGACAAAATAATAATAATAATAATAATAATAATAATAATAATAGGGCTCCAACAAGCGCTTAAAATGTTTTATTAATTTAAAAATTTTGTTATTATGTTAAGTTAGGGGGGACAGTATTTATGAAAAAATAATAATAATGAAATTATATTACATTAATATTTTTTTAGCTTAACGTGTTACTGAAAAAAAAATCTAATTTTAACAGGCGCTTAAAATGTTTTATTAATTTTAAAATTTTGTTATTATATTAAGTTAGAGGGGACAGTATTTATGAAAAAATAATAAAAATGGAATTATATTACATTAATATTTTTTTTAGTTTAACATGTTACTAAAAAAAATTGTTTTTTTTCTAATTTTAAACTATCTTACTTCAAAAATAAAATAAAAATTAAAGTATTTATTTCATCATCCCAAATCCAAATGCCCCATTTACTTTATTAACCAATTACCAATCCAACAAAACAATAAATAACCCAAAATCCTAATGATTAAAATAAAGAGTGAAAGCGAACCCCAAATCTCTTTTCGCTACTTCCGTCTCTCTTACCATTTAATTCACGAAGAACTTTCAAACAAATAAAATAATAAACTCTACCATAAGTCTTTGTTACTTACTCTACAATATTACAATGTACGTAGCAATATCACAATTTTAGTGACTGGGTAAATCTTAGTGTTAGGCTTGTGGAATATGAAATGAGTAGTATGCATATCAACAACATAACTACTTTGATTGATTGACGTGTTAGTGAAAATTTTACAAAATCTTTTTTATCAAAGAAATAAAGACAACTTTCGATATATTAATTTATTTGAAAAGATTGGGTTGCTTTCCGAACACATTTACTTCTTATAAAACACTATTGACAATTCATGTCACTATTTAAATTGTCGAAAGAAGTTTTCAAAATTGAAGTTATTAAAATCTTATTTGCGATCCACCATTTTACAAAAACAATTGAATGGACTAGTTGTGATATTCGTAAAACAAGATTTGTTAGAACATATTAATTATGAAAGTTTAATTAGTGAGTTTACTTTTAGAAAATGCAAATAAATATTTTTACATAGAGCTTGTTTGAGCCCAATTATTATTAATATTTTATTTTTTTTAAGAATGTAGTTTGTAATAGTAGATTGATGAAAATGTGCGGTTAAAAGATAAGAATTTTTTTTTTTGAATTCAAGTGTAATATTATTTTGTTGAATAATATGTAGTTGAAAAAAAAGTATTTTGAAAATAATAGGGATCAAACAAGGGCGTGATTTGTTGCATTGCAAGATTTACATGTGGTATTTGATGTTTCTAATTTCAAAACTTGCTCATATGGAAGTGCATGAAACATTTAGTGGCTTGATGGTTCTTTATAGATGACATATGAATTTTGATGAAGTAATTTTTTAATTTCTTGAAGGCGGCACCATTTTAAAATGTCACACTAGACACCCAAATTTTTAGGGTCCGCACTGAGCAAAAAATATCCTTATCGTTTGTACTCATTGCATAAATAGTCCATATCGTTTCAAACTTAACATTTGCACCCTCATTTCAAACTTTTTTGTCGTGGAGTTGGGTCATTTTTGTCATGTTTCGTTAAATCCTTCTGTTAAATATGGGTAATTGACGCAAAACATTCTCATCATTTGCATTGATTGTGCAAATCATCAATTTCATTTCAAATTTGATATTTGAACACTCAGATCGACCATTCTTAGCATAAAATGTTTATTTTCTCCATTCAAACTTTATAAAATGACTAATTTACCATGTTCTTTAAATAAACAAATAGACTACTCATTGCATATCTATCCTTCAGTGAACTTCCCAACAAACCAAGCTTCAAAGCGTCTGTTTGGAAGCGCTACTATTAGCAAATAATTGATTTTTATACCGTTGAAATGGGGCCCACCTTTGCCAGCCTGTAGACGCCCACAAATTTTGACCATTTTATCGTGATTTAATTTTTTCAATTGTCATTTTTATCATTAATTTATATGTAAGTATAAAATCATGAAATGATAAATCTTACATTTTACATGCCCACATTATTTGACAATTCATATGATCACTCAAATGTGCCAAAAATGAGGGAGGGGAAAGGGACCCAGTACGTTTCCAATGGTTGAATTTTTGCTTAAAATGCGGTGAAAATCCCACCTAAACCAGCGCTAAAGTTGTTTCTTGTTTGAGGTTCTTTATAATCGACTTTATGTCCTTGTTTGGTCCCATTTTCAAAATTTCACTTTCTTTTTTTTCTAAAATTCATTTTCAATTACACGTCTTACGGCATTCACAACTTTTATCAATTTTCAATTATACGTTTCATCAATTTTTATTAAAATATACTAAAAATCTAATTTTTAACTAAATCAAGCCGCAGCAAAAAAATTATGAATTTTCTGCTTCTAGCTTAATAGAATTCGACAGTCCATATATACACACTGCATTTTTACCTTTACCAAACATCTGATAACCATAAGAGAAGACACATATTAACATGCATGGTAAGAGAGAGCACATCTCCCCAACTTGCTAAATTTTGGCGATAAAAAATTTTGATGTGAACGGTGATTTTTCCACAAAAATTTCCCACATCCATTTACAACTCCTAATTTTATCACACAATTTATTTATATTACCACCCACATATATATGATGTCACTGAAGAACACATATACGGAAGATTTTTCCACAAACGCATTTACATAAGATGTCCCCAGTTTTCGCTCATATCCAATGGAAACAACAATGCTATTTGTACAACCAAATGATTGACATATAGGTTGGATTGAATACTCACAATGGGAGGGTTCACTTTTTTTTTTTTTTTTTTGAATTTTTTAATCATGCAGGGCCCGCCAACATGTGAGAGGTTGTCATCCTTGATTGTCAACCTCTCGTGCATAAATGAGATTTTGATTAAAGAGATAGGGTGGTTGTATGTTATCTAAATCAGGTGATGGATCGCGAGTTCGGTGGGGATCGCATTTCGGGTTTGTGATGGTTGCTAGCAGCAGCAACTAGTTGGAGGTTTTGGTGCGGCGATGACAATTTCGGCCAATGGGGTGTCGTATTCTGGTGAATTGTAGTTATGGATCTTAAAAATTACGTGCTTATAATTAAATTTAACCTTGATTTTTAAGGGTTGTAGTCAATACAAACTTTTAAAAAACTTGTATAAATTTAAAAAATAAAAAGTCTATTCATATTCAATATAAACTTTCAACACTCCATAAAAGGCTTGAGAGATTCGAGTCCTTAAAAGTATCGAAGTATAGTCTTAGGATTTTTTACAGGTTTTAAAAGGTCGTGATATTCAAAATGCCAATGACTTAAAAGATTTTTATCATATTATATAAGATACTAACTTTTAAATGGAAAGTACAGATACAATATGTGATAATTTATTTCTCAAGAGTCGAGGAGTCTTTCACAAAAGAAAAATAAAATAAAATTCTTTCAATCTGTAATTTTTTGTCATTTGAATATTTATTTCTTCTCCTCTTCCCTTCTCTGAATCTTTGAGCCACAAAAAAAATATTAAAAAAATCAATGTTGTTTCTGCAATGAGCAATGCTGAATAAGCTCCTCAAACCATTGAATGTAAAATGAGAATGGAATTGATGATGAACTAGTCAAAAGAATCTGGAATAGAGTTATCTCAATTTTGCACTTTGTATACGTAAAATCAAAAAATTACTAATCAAACAATCTTAAGCGGATCACTAGTGGCAAAATGTTCCATAAGTTACAAAGTGCATATACATAACTGATAAAACATCTAGAAAGAATTCTAGGAAAGTTAGCAAACTGAGAGGGGGAAACTATCAGGACATGTTTGGTGATTTTTTTTAACACTGTCCAGTTATACAGTCCACCTTATGAAACAAGCCATTAGCATTTAAGGTTTAAGCATAAGCTCGCGGCATTCCTAAAACAGTAACTGCTACAATTAAAATACCAACTTATTTTCAAAACATAGATGGCAGCAGGGATTAATGAGGAAGAGAATTCAACACATACCTAACAAGAAGGGAAGGCAGAAGAGAGAAATTCTTCATCCTCCAAAAATATCTGCAGATTTTTAGTCTTCATCAAGAACCCAATAGCTGCCTCATCGAATTCCAAGATAAAACCTAGTTTGATCAGTTCAGCAAGCTGTTGAATATGATCTTCTTTATCCCACAGAAGTCCCTCAGAAATTACTTCAGCAAAATATGTTGCGCATTCAAGGACATTCTTATGACCACCTGATTTATCCACCTTCTGCATAAAAAACTCAGACGTCTCTCTCTCCCAACGCATCAATCTTCTTGCACTGACATTTATGATTTTCCCCGATTTAAGTGGTAAACTGTATTCCACGGTTATTGGTGTTGGTGTCTCAAGAACAGTAATTTCAAGCATGCCCTTCAGAGCATCGTGCCTCTTC